TCCTGCTGACTCTGAGAGGTGCTAAAGTTTGAGAATCGCCGCTATAGGCCAATGGCTTAATCCCATCGTAGATGACCCCCTGCCTCTCAGTCTCTCACCAGCTAGCTTCAGAGGAAAGAGGAGATTCAGGGTAGGTTGTGGCCCACCAGCAGAGGATGCCCTAAAGGGAATATTCTGTTATTTCAGCCTGATCACTCCCATTGTTGACATTTACATGGTCCAGCCAATAGAAGTGGTCCATCCAGTACAAATGCTCTTCTGGGGTCCCGCCAGGACTTTAAGTGGATCAGTGCTCAGAGTCCTTGGAGAAATAACAGATGCTAAGAGGTTTTAAACTACTGTTGATGTTTGATAGTTGTATATTTGCTGCATTTCAACAGCATGACACCCAGTTAATAACTGTTTTCTGGTTTTCATTATCAGAATACTTTTGTATTTTTTCAACCTTTCTATATGAATTCTAGGCACATTTATAATATCTATAATATACTTTCCAGATTTTCTCAACCGACTAATAGGTCAGTTAGAATTTCATCTTCTGTTCATAGGGAGCATTCTACCTTATGTTAATAAAAATTCATTGGTATTGTGTTTAAAATTTTCAAAGTGCCCTTGATCTTCATTAGACTGTGGATAGATAGGCAGACCTTATCTCCATTGTACAGAGAAGAAAATCAAGCCCAGAGTGACTTGCTCAGTCTCCCTGTACATAGTCAGTAGCAGGGGTCTTCTGATTTCATCACTCTGCCCGGTATCCTGAATCAGGCTATGAATTTTTTTCACACTTGTTAACCTTAAACCACAGTTTCTGGCTGGTTGGTAATTTCACCAGCCAACAAATGCAAGAGGGAAGAAGAAAAGTTAATAATGGAATTCTCTGTTTTATGAGTAAGCACTGTATTCTGTTTATCCTGCAGCACTTAAAATTGTGTATGTGAGAGAGAGCGTGAAGGAGGTGAGCATTCACACGCAGGGAAGAGAGGAAGAAACAAAAAGCTGAGAGGTCATCTTTACCCTGGAACATTTAGTCCTGTCTAACCCAGAGGTGAATTACCATTGCCATTTATTTAGTTCTTTCTCTGCAAAATTAGGAACTTTCCACTTTGTTTGGTGGGGATACACTGTATAACTATAAGACCAATTTACAGAGCAGAATTTATGGAAGAAGAAATAAATAGTAGAAAGAGACAGTGAACCATACAGGTGTGGTGAGAGTTCACTGAGGTTTCTTAACAGAGGAGTGGCCAAAAATGAGCTTTGAGCTATTTGGAACAAATGTAAGGATGAGGCTTAAAAGTCCACCGCTTGAGATTAATGTTGGTTTGTGATGAAGTTTTCGCTGGTCCTCAGCAAGATGAAAGTAATAAGGACAAGGTATTATGAGAGTATACACACATATATATCTGTGTATAAGGCAAATCTCTTCCTCATTGCTATGTTTTAATCACTGAGAGGTAAAGTCTTTCAAAGTGATGTGTCTTAGGTGGTGGGGAGGGGTGTGCGCACATGTGTCTTTTCATATCTTCAGATACCTTTTGAGTGTACATGTTCAGCTTCTTCCTGTAACATCTGGATTTACTGAAGGACTGGTTTTCAGAAAACTCGCTAACACTTGAGGGTTCTGTGGAGGGGAAAACATTTTCCGTTTACCCTTCTAGGTTCTTTGACTGGCCTAATAATTAAGTTGATATAAGACAGATGAACCGGAGGAAAACACAAGTTTAACATGTGTATCCCTTGTATACGTGGGAGAGACCCAGGAGAACTGAGTAACTCTCCGAAGTGGCCCAAGCCACCACCTTCAATACCATCTCCAGCTAAAGACAGAAGATGCTAGGGTGGGGAGTCAGTTATGAGAGGTGACCAAGAAAAGCTCAGTAAACAAGGGTATGGTTGTGCAGATTTATGTCCTGGCCTTTCCCATTGATAAGAGTTTCTGGAGATTTCCAATCATTCTCCTCTTCCTGTCACAGAGAGGGAGGCATTTACAAATGGAGACTTCCTTTATACGTGTAAATGTTTCTTATAAAAGGGTGACTTGTACTCACTTTAAAGATTCCTGTATGCGCTGTTTGTTAAAAATATCCGCCTAAAATAATCAGTATGCCAAAGACGTATGTTTTGGGCTGTGTAGTTTGCTTCCCCTCAGTTCAGTTGTCTGGGAGCTGTGTTTGAAAGCAGCAAATGGTGTTGTCATAAGCAGTTATTATTACACTTGGCCTTGAAGTTTTCCTTGCCTTGAATGCTCAGTTTTCTCTCTGTTTCTCCCTGTGTGTCCTTCTGTCTCTCCCTCTCCTCCCCTCAGCCCTCTTCTCTGTCCTCTTCTGCCCCTACTTCCCTCCAGCCCCCCCTCCCTCCACTCCTACATGACCTCCTCCCCAATCCTCTCTTGCTCTGTCTTTTCTAGCTGTTTCCGTCTCTACCTGTCTCTAGGGGTAAATATTTAACAAGAGGTGTCTCATGTGTAAGCACATGTCCTGCTAATAACAGTAAGTAATCATTTTAATCTAAATGGAGATTTCTAATTGCAAAGATCTGTATCCCTAAAAGCTATCCAAGAGCAATAAGCTTACATTTCTTGGTAATGGGCACTGTCTTGTTTATGGTGTCCATAGTGGTAATAGCAGCAGTGGTAGGAGTGATGATAATGACAACAATAATGTTTGATTCTTCTTCTTACGGCTAATATTTTTTGAGTTTTTACCACTTGCCACATGTTGTCCTGGGGAAGTGGTAGTCTGCAGACCCTTGGAGATGCCCAGGACTCTTCAGGAGCCCATGAGGTCAAAGCTGTTTTCACAGTGATGCTAAGAAGCTTTTTTCCCTTTTTCGTTTGCACTGATTACGCGGAAGCAATAGTGGGCAAAACTGCTGCCTCCTTGGCCCGAATCAAGGCAGATGGCCATTATAGTCTTCATTGTCAGCACTCTCAGTTAAAACTTTTTTTTTAAGTCAATCTTATTTTAGAAAGCCCCTGATGAAGCAGTAAATTTTATTAAATCTTGACCCTTGAGTACATGGACTTTAAATGTTCTGGGTAACAAAATCAGGAATCAGTAAATACTTATGCGTATTTGAGTTGCTAGCTAAATTAGTCACATTTTTCGTGGACCACCATTTTTATTTGAAAGAACAACTGTTAAGTAAACTATGGTTATTCAGACTGGGGTATTTGGGAGAAATTTTCTTGAAGTCAGACAGTAATTTCAAGGAAAACACTACATTGGTCCAGTGGAGAGAGCTGTCCAGTGGCCAAACTGGATGATCTGACTTTAGGGGCAGGTGCTCCCAGGGTCCTTTTTGCTGCCAAACAGTATATAAATTCTTTTATATCTCAACTCATGTTTATAAATCATAATTAAAGAAAAGTTGTCCTTTGAATACTGATGAACTTTTGCATAGACAGAGCTAAAATACCATTTTCCAAGGTTAACTTACAACAGAACCACTCATTGTAAAGATTAGAAAAATAGAGCCCAGTTATTGAAAGCCATATCCAAGGTAACACTCTACAAATACATGATTTATGGCCTCATCTTATATTTTATAGTGCTTGAAACTTTCAAGTACTTTCATATATACATTTTTCTCTGATCCTCACACAACCCTGTGAGTATCTAAAACAGTTTAAAGATAAGGAAATTGGGACTCGCTAGTTCCACGGATGCTCTTTATATTTGCCCACCCTTTCAGCTGTTATCTCTGAGGGCCTGAAATAACTCAGAACTACTGGAGAGGAGAGAGAATCTGTACAATCTGGCAACTAACTAGGGGCAAAAAAAAAGAGATGAGGGAGTCAGGCAATTTTCTGAAGTTTCTTCCTTGGTTCCCTGGGAGGGTACCATTGACAGAGAAAATAAAAAATAGAGAAGGAATAGATTCAATCAACAAATGTTTCCTGAAGGCCTTTTCATTGGCACTATGTAATCTGCTTTGCGGGCTTCTTAGGATGTGTATAGACTGTGCTGTTACGATCTCTATATGGGAAGATATGGCATAAACACGAGTAACTCTGATTCAAGGGTGCTGAGTGCATAGTTTAGGTCCTATAGCTATTCACAGGAGGGAAGGAATTACTTCTAGGCCCAGGGAAAATTTTTATGGAAGAGGAAGCATTTGAAAGGAGTCTTGCAGAATGGTAGAATTTGGATGTGCAAAGGTGGTTGTGAAGAGACAAGGAAAATTCAGTTACAGAAAAATAGAGCAGGGTGTGGAAGGAGGATACAGAGGTATGTAGAGGTTGGTGAGAACACAGCATGTGTGTAGGTGGATAATGAAAAATTATTGGCAACAATTATTCCAATGAATTAAGGGAAATGTTGACTGCTACATACATAGTTTTCCATTTTGTATTTAGTTCATTTTCAAATTAGACACTTGGCAAACACATGTCTTTTTAAGTACAACCTAGTTCGTTCTTTATACATAAAAGTTCATTTTTCATTGACTAGGGTGAGTATTTTAAGTTCACATAACATAATTGATCTTTCTAGATGTTGGTTTATGGTTTTAGAGGGTTATGCAAAATATTTATTGTGGTCTTATTTTTTAAATTTTTGGTGGTGGCTTGTCTTAAAATAAAGCTGCAATTTTTAGATAACTTTATTCTAGTCATACTTAGAAATTCCATCAATCCTTTAAATTGCATTTTCATCTGAACTGCATCCCTGTGTCTATCTTCAAGTAGCTTAGCTTTATCTTCCAGGTCTTTCTTCTCCTTTGGTATTAGTGTTGGTTATCATTCACTGCTGAATTTATCTGACTTGGATATTTATTACTGTTTTTCCCCTAGATAAGTCAGATAAGTATGATCCACGTGATGTTGAAAGACTACAACAAGATGATAACTGGGTTGAAAGTTACTTATGTTGGAGGCATAATGTTGTAGATGAAACATTGAAGATGCTTGATGAGAGTTTTCAGTGGAGGAAAGAAATGTCTGTCAATGGTAAGCTGTTCGGGCTTCCCTGGTGGCGCAGTGGTTGAGAGTCCGCCTGCCGATGCAGGGGACGCGGGTTCGTGCCCTGGTCCGGGAAGATCCCACGTGCTGCGGAGCGGCTGGGCCCGTGAGCCATGGCCGCTGAGCCTGCTTGTCTGGAGCCTGTGCTCCGCAATGGGAGAGGCCGCAGCAGTGAGAGGCCCGTGTACCGCAAAAAAAAAACAAAAAAGAAACAAAAAAAACATGGTAAGCTGTTCAATTTAACCTTGACTGTGTACTATATCCCCTGCATAAATGTTACTATTTTACACTTATAGCCTATTTGCAAATATTCTTGGCAGTCATCAGAAATATCAGAATATAATATTTTATAAAGACCCAGTAACATTTGAAAGGAACATCTTATGAATAAATCTTAAGATAGGATTATTCATAAGGAAATCAGATCACCAAGGAGCAGAATCACAGTCAGATTCTTCACTCACAGCGGAGTCTCCTATTCTGTGTCTATTTGGTTTAGAACCATTAAAATATCAAGACAGCATCTTCGCTACTAGGCCTAGAAATAAGGGGATACTATTTGCCTGTTTTTCTCAGTTGTTGCCTGGTGTCTGTCTCTATTCCCAGAGTTCCTTGTGCTAATAGGTGTTCCATGTGGAATTACTATACGAATGGGAGTCCCCAAAAAGCAGGCTTATCCCCAAGGATGCCTATAGCAGCCTCCTCGAAACTTCTTGATTTCAAGGCCCAATTCTAGATTGAAATTCCCCACCTCCCCAAAAAAGGAGTTTTAAATCTTAGAGGGGATTTTATAATAGTGTTCAAGTAAATGGAGAACTCTTTTCAGGAAAGGTTACCCGTTATCTCTCTCCTCCTAAAAAATTTCACAGGAAGAAACTGGCACAACTGCTGGTTTCGATGAGGTATAAAGAAGGATTTCCTGACCTTGAGGATTATAAACTCTGGAGTGACTGAGTCTGGAGACTTAATACAAAATAGTCAACAAATAAATCCAGAGCAGATAGTCTCCGCAGTCATCCTACTTGGAGAAGGAATCTATCAGAAGGAGACTATTTAAAAAATAATTTGATTGGAGATATAAAAACTGTAGGTAATTTCAACAGTGAAACATTTATTAGTCAAGCAAAGAAATGTAAACCTGATGTTTCTAAATCATTTAAGTACAGAATAAACCTTTAAACTCAACAATAGTTTTCTCTTACATAGAATTGCTAGTTTCTAGTGGCAGACAGCAGAGAGATGATGAAAGGTGGGTGGGAAAAGATAAAGAAAGCTTTGAGAGTTCTCGGAGAAGTACTGATGAATGACACAGAAGCCTTGACATTTGCTGCCTTGCTGTGTTGGTTCTCGGCCT